AGACAAAAAAATCAGAAATTTCACACAAAAAGTCATGCATACATCAAACCAAAACAAGGGAATATGATGTTACCTTTTCAGATCCATCACACCCCTTTGCCGATCCAACCCCTCTCACTCAAATCCCCATCTCCCTCAGTACCTAGGGTTTCTAAGATTTAGACGTCCGTACAAGGGGAACTACACCAACTCCATGGAAAAGGGAAGGGGGAAGCTTGCCTTACCTTGGGGCAGCAATGGAGGGCGGCGGAGCAGCAAGGGCGACGGCGGAGCAGCAGGGCGACGGCGGAGCAGCAGGGGCGGCGGCGGGGCGAGAGCGAATAGGCGGCTGGGTGGAGAGCTGGAACGAGCGAGCGAACTGGTGGCCCTGTCTCGCGTGAGGGTTTTTTTATCTAGCGTGTTGGGGGTATTGAGGGCAGTTTCGTCAAATAGAAATATTACCAGACCAGTTTTTCTTTCATTAGTAGCAAACTGAACGCATAACAACAAGAAGGGGGCAATCAGCAAAGAACGAGTCGGAACAGGGGGGCTCAGAGCGAGTCGCACGAACATGGGGGTACAAGATCAAAGTGGAGCGCGCAGGGGGGGTTAAAATCAATTCTCCCTGCGAGGAAGGGAGGTTCAGGAGCAAAGCCACCTGCACCGTCCGATTAACATCCAGTTACCAGATCAAGGACATGCTTGGGTGCTGATTGGTGACTGGGAGTCGGGGCCACACGGTAGATAGCCAAGTACTCCCTCCGTTCCTTCATATAAGGTGTATAGATTTTTGAGAAAAAGTCCGAAATATAAGGTGTATTGCGTTGCACCACTCGTTTGGATAATTTTTTTAAGGGATTTGATCACATTTCTTTATATAAGGCAAGCTTCTCTGTTTTGTCATGTCAATTAATCAGGTGTAATCTCGCCCAAAACTTGTGAAATTTTCCCTCAATGTGTGTTCTTTAATTTCCGTGCCAAAAACTATACACCCTATATTTAGGAACAGAGGGAGTAATTCTTAACGGGGTAAATATCCCTAAAAAAATTGGGCACTGCTACGCGTCCGTCGGCTGATGTTTAGATTTTATCTGTCGCCTCGACGGTCGTTGGATACCCGAGCTGATAGCCGTCCGATCCGATGTCCGCCCCCGCATGCCCACTCGTTATTTCCCGTAACAAACGCTCGGTTGCAAAAACAAGTCAGTCTTGACTCGACCCCGACTGAGTTGCGCCCCGCGCGGTGCCGCTGCAAAATCAGCCCGCCACTGACGTGTAGGAGCTACTCTAGTTGCGAAACCTCCTCTTCCCTAAATTTCTACAACATGAGCTTTGTTGCGAAACTTTCTCATCTCTAATTTCCTGCAGCAAGAGCTTTGTTGCGAAAACTCCTTTTTTCTAATTTTCTGCAACAATTCCCCTGTTGCAAAAACTCTTATTCTCTAATTTTCTACAACAAGACCTTTGTTGTAAAAATTGAAAAAGACATCTCACGCCGTGCCTAATTTTCTGTAACAAGACCCTTGCTAGAAAAATTGCAACAACATCTCCGGCCGTGTCACCCAGTCTTCGATGCCGTCGTTCCGCAACAACATTGTTGTTGCAGAAACTTGGAGTGTGCGTGGACGTAAGGCGTTGTGATGTGGCTGTGTCTAGCATTGGTGGTGCCAGGACGGTGGTCGCCCAGAAATGGAGGGGAATGGGAGGGGGGTCTCCGATCCATACCTGTTGGAGTCGACGTCGGCGGATATGCCCCGGACGCCGAACGCCGCCGCCCCGCTGCCCTCCCAAATCCAGAAGCGTGCGCCCTCCCATAGACACGAGTCAATGAAGGCCAATTGCACAAATGCTTATTCTGAAACAATAGTTGTGTTTCAGAAAAGAACGCGTGTGACGAGGAAAGCGGGGTCGTTCTCATACGTCTAATCAACAGGCGATCCATCGGACACGGAGCCAGCGGATGCGCGTGCGAGATAGGTCGGCTAAAGGTAAGATTAGACCCAAAAAATTTAACGAGGTAAATACACTCAAAGTCTTAGGGTCCGTTTGGATAGTAGCATGCGCCTACCTTACCAAAATTTCGGCGTTGATTGTAGGCGTTGGCGTGCGTTTGGATGGTGGCCAGATTTTCGGATCTACGCCAAAATTTTGGCAAGCAGTTCAGTTCTTCTCGCCAACTGTGGGCGAAGCGGCGGCGGCGAAATCCCTCGCCAAATAATTGGCACGCCCCCGAATTGGTAGGGCTGGTCTGGGCACGATCCAAACAGGCCCTTAGAGCAACTCCAACAGCCGGTACATTTTGTCCGCGTGTGTTCGTTTGGGTCGAAACGGACAGAAAAGTCGGCCCAACACGCTGACCCAAACGAACTATCCTCAGTTTTTCGTCCGCTGTGCGACCTATTTCATGCCCAAATTTGGGTCTCGTTTGCGCCGGCATGGACACGAAATGGATGTGTGCGATGCTCCCCTAGTCCTTCCATGGCCCGCTAGTTGGCGGCATAGCCACCCCTATTTCCCTCTTTTTCCCAAAAAACTCCCACTCGCTCGCGCTCCTGCCCACTCGCCATGGACGACCCGTGCACCCTTGACGCCGCCGCCTTCCTCGCCTCCACTAAAGTCAAGCCATGTGTCGCCCGCAAGACACCGGCGCCGAAGAAGACGAAGTCGTTGACGGATGAGCAGCAGGCTGTGCAGTCAGTCAAGAGGAAGGGACCGGAGGTACGTGCAGGCTGACGAGCTCAAAGCTGTGTCCGCCGCCCGCCTCACCGCCGCTGCACAACAGGAGGAAAACAAGGCCCTCCTCGTTGCGGCAACGAGGGAGGCCCTGATCTACTTCGTGTTAAACCCAGTCCAGCATGGGCTCATCACTGCCGCCGTGGCCACGGCCAACATGGGCTCGTCGGCCTTTCCTTGTGTGCCACTGCCAGAGTCGATGCGCAGGTATACCATGCCGCCGATGCCCGGCTTTCATCCCTACCCGCAAGCCTCCCATTTTTCTCTAGGGAATGCTCGCTGGAGGTGAGCGTTGTGGCGCCGGCCACACCCCCGCCCATGTCCATCGACCTCAACGCCACCGAGGGCCATAGGAGACCCCCGCAGGAGATCCCAGCCGACATGCACCCCGACACCCGCAACCTGTTCGACATAATGCCGGTTGAGGGAGTCCTGGATTAGGGGGTCTCCGGATAGCCAGACTATATTCTTTGGCCGGACTGTTAGACTATGAAGATACAAGATTGAAGACTTCGTCTCGTGTCCGGATGGGACTCTACTTGGCATGGAAGGCAAGCTAGGCAATACGGATATGCGTATCTCCTCCTTTGTAACCGACCTTGTGTAACCCTAGCTCTCTCCGGTGTCTATATAAACCGGAGGGTTTTAGTCCGTAGGACAACATACAATCATATCATAGGCTAGCTTCTAGGGTTTAGCCTCTCTGATCTCGTGGTAGATCTACTCTTGTACTACCTATATCATCAATATTAATCAAGCAGGACGTAGGGTTTTACCTCCATCAAGAGGGCCCGAACCTGGGTAAAACTTCGTGTCCCCTGCCTCCTGTTACCATCCGCCCAGACGCACAGTTCGGGACCCCTACCCGAGATCCGCCGGTTTTGACACCGACATTGGTGCTTTCATTGAGAGTTCCTCTGTGTCGTTGCCGTTAGGCTTGATGGCTCCTTCTATCATCGTTAGCGATGCAGTCCAGGGTGAGACTTTTCTCCCCGGACAGATTTTTGTATTCGGTGGCTTTGCACTGGGGGCCAATTCGCTTGGCCATCTGGAGCAGATTGAAAGCTACGCCCCTGGCCATCAGGTCAGGTTTGGAAGCTTAAGCTACACGCCCGATATCCGCGGAGACTTGATCTTCGACGGATTCGAGCCTCTGCCTTGTGCGTCACGCGGTCATGATGAGTACGATTTAGCTCTACCATTCGATAGTGTTCAGGAGATCGCACCGGCAGTCACTCCGACCCTCAATTCGGAGCCAGTTGCGTCGTCCATGGACGGGTGGATGGACCCCGCCACGGAGGCCTTACCCCCATCGGCGATCGAGCCGAACATCAACCTTACTCTGCACGAGAGCCGTGTTGACAAACTGCCAGATCTCTCTCCGGCCACAGACTCCGAACCGCCTGCGCCCGTTCCTAGCGAATCCAATTGGGCGCCGATCATGGAGTTTACCTCCACGGATATTTTTCAGCACTCGCCCCTTGGTGACATACTGAACTCATTAAGGTCTCTCTCCTTGTCAGGAGAATCCTGGCCGAACTATGTCCGGCAGGATTGGGATGTGGATGGCGTCAAAATTCACCGCCCACCCACCACCCACTTAGTAGCCACTATCGATGACCTAACCGACATGCTCGACTTTGACTCCGAAGACATCGACGGTATGGACAACGATGCAGGAGACAAACAGGAACCACTGCCCACAGGGCACTGGACGCCCACTTCATCACATGACGTATACATGGTGGACACACCAAAAGAACACGACCACGAGGAACAGAAGGACGCAATGAAGGGTTGTCCCCTCGAGAAGCAGTCAAAGCAGCGGCGTAAGCGCCGCTCCAAATCCCGCCTCGGCAGAAACAACGATCATACAGACCCAGCGTTAGAGCAGGGTGAACCATCGCCGGACCACGGCAACACGGAGAATCAAACCGAACAACCCGATTCTGTCAAAGATAACAGTACGGATGACATTACACCGGACAGACACCCGGAGCAACAGAATGCCCGTCAAAGGCTCATTGCCACCGCGAGGAGTCTAAAAAAGTAGAAGCAAAGGCTCAAGGCTGCGCAAGACACACTTAAAATCAGATGGAGTAAAGTACTCAATGCAGCAGCGAAGTACGGCGGTAATTACCCCACCAAGAGCTACCCGAAGCGGAAGTTGCTACCTGAATTCGATGAGGAGGCCTTAGATCCCCCGCAACCAAAAATTAAAATGGCCACCTGGCCGGACAGACGACCTCACGGCCAACATAGAGCGGCAAACAACGCCGCACATAAGCCAATACGCGATCCACGCGAGGGCTCGCATCAAAAGGACGGCGCAACCAGATCCATCTATGGACCACGCAAGCGCGCTCCAGCATATACGATGCAACACAATAAACATCCAAACAATACGGTAAACCCAGATACAGGGGTGCCGCACACCCCCTATGTTTTATCGATGAGGTGCTGGACCATGAATTTCCAGAGGGATTCAAACCCGTAAACATAGAGGCATACGACGGAACAACAGACCCTGGGGTCTGGATTGAGAACTATATCCTCCATATCCATATGGCTCGAGGAGATGATCTCCACGCCATCAAGTACTTACCCCTCAAGCTCAAAGGGCCAGCTTGGCACTGGCTTAAAAGCCTCCCCAAAAACTCCATTGGAAGCTGGGAAGAGCTCGAAGATGCTTTTCGGGCAAATTTTCAAGGGACTTATGTCCGACCTCCAGATGCGGATGATTTGAGTCATATAACTCAACACCCGGAGAGTCAGCCCGAAAGCTTTGGAACAGGTTTCTTACTAAAAAGAACCAAATAGTTGACTGTTCGGACGTCGAAGCCTTGGCAGCTTTTAAGCATAGCGTCCACGATGAATGGCTTGCCAGACACCTCGGCCAAGAAAAGCCGAGAACAATGGCAGCATTAACAAGCCTCATGACCCGCTTTTGCGCGGGTGAGGATAGCTGGCTAGCCAGATGCAGCACCAGCGACCCAAGTACATCCAAAGTTAGAGATGAAAACGGGAAATCACGACGCAGCAAAAATAATAAGCGCCGGAATAAAGAAGACAACCCGAAGAGCACGACAGTAAACGTCGGATTCAGAAGCTCTCGGCCGAGTCAGCAAAAGCCGCCCCCTAAAGGCGCCAGAGATGAACTGTCCAGCCTGAACAAAATTCTGGACCAAATATGTCAGATCCATAGCACCCCTGGTAAACCCGATAATCATACCCACAGAGAATGTTGGGTCTTCAAGCAGTCCGGCAAGCTGAACGCCGTACACAAAGGGGAGATACACCAAGCGAAGATGAGGATGAACCTCTCAAGCAAGACACTGAGGAACAAAAGAAATTTCCACCAGAAGTCAAAACAGTAAATGTGTTACACGTGATCAAGGGGAGAAATAAAGCGGCACTCCCAGAGAAATATGCTCAAGGGCCTATCACCGCGGAGTCCTGCCACTGGTCGGCTCAACCGATCACTTTCGACCATCGGGATTACTCAGCAAATATCCGGCATGCAGGATGGGCTGCCTTGGTATTAGACCCAATAATTGACAGATACCATTTTACACGAGTCCTGATGGACGGTGGCAGCAGTCTAAACCTGATATATCAGGACACAATCCGCAAAATGGGGATAGACCCAACGAAAATTTGCCACAACAATACTATCTTTAAAGGAGTAACGCCAGGCCAAGGGGCTCACTGCACGGGCTCCCTGCTACTAGAAGTTATATTCGGCTTCCCCGATAACTTCCGTAGCAAAAATTTAACCTTCCACATTGCTCCGTTCCAAAGTAGCTATCAAGCACTACTTGGACACGAAGCTTTTGCTCGCTTTAATGCAATACTGCACTACGCTTCCCTCATGCTTAAGATGCCCGGTCCACGTGGCATCATTACAGTAAATGGAAATATGGAGCGATCCCTGCGCCGAAGAGGCAACCGCACACTAAAACGGCCTCACCAACTAAAGTATTCGATAGGTCGTCAAGACCACGGACACGGTTAGACGAGTCCGGCGCAGCTGTATGTAATTCGTACAGGTTTGATGGCCATACCCCTATCACAAATACAAGGGGCTCAACGCGCGCAGACAAGTGGCAATTTTTACTCATCTTGAATTATACATGTTTTTTACAAAAAAACCTCCTTTTTGCACGACAACTCTTCACCTAAGTTCCTCTCTTTTATAGATGACCACTGTGCTACACCCGTCCAGGATACGGCACAATGGAGACACAGGCGCAGACGTGCAGCAGGGACCCGTTCCAAGGATTCTTTTTAGATTAAGACCCTGTGTCAACCTTTTTTACTGTCTCTTGTTGATACACATCCCTCGGATTCTCAGTACAATTGAGAAGGATGATGGCGTCTTGGCATGTGGCCATGTCAGAATAATGCACGTACCTGAACACCAGGGGCTTCTTACAAAGGGCGCTGATTAGGCCCGGTTCATACCATAAAGACCGAATACCTTATGGAGTGTTCGGCGTCGCAAGTTTGGCCCTATATGCATCAGATCCGAATCATGTCTTTGGTCAAATGTTGGGTTTGCCTGGCTCCTATGTTTTGGTACCTTACGTTCCGCTCTATCGGCTAAGGTAGCACTAGGAGAACTACTGTGATTGTGCCCCGGGTCATCCGGACGAGCACCTCAGTAGAGAAAGCTGAAAACTGACTATCATGATATAGCGTGAGACTGGTCAACCACTTGATGACCTATCGGAATGTTAGAATTCTTCCGCCTTAACGAAGGGTCGTTTCCCGGCCAGGCATGTACGCACCCCGAATTCGGGAGAGTGCGGAGCCACCACGGGCTATATAGTAGCCCCACCGTCAAACTCCTATGGCTAAGTGAAAGTGTTAAAGCATTATAGTCCGGTTGCCTCGTTCGCTGCGTTATCACCTCCTTAATAGGACCAAGACGTTGGGTTAAGTGTGAACACGCGTCTTCTGCGAACACCTCCGCATTATATGCGTGGGGGCTGAAGCCGACGACTGCAATCTTTCAGGTTATACACATGTATACATAAACGGCCGCATAGGAGGCATCATATTACTTTCAGGCAAAAGTATAAACACAACCTTGTAAATTTCATAAAAACATTGTGTTTACAATGGGAATACATGTCACGCAAACATAATATTCTTCGAGCACTGGGCCTCTATAAAACGAGCACCCTCGAGAACCTCTTCGAAATAGTGCTCGGCAGCCACTCGGCCTATGGCCGAACCCTGCGCCGCAACAGTGGTAGCATCCATCTCCGCCCAGTATGCTTTAACACGGGCAAGGGCCATCCGCGAGCCTTCTATGCACGTT